CGATTCCTTGCAGGCGGCTCCGGCGGGGGCGCGCGGCAGGGACGAGAGCCCCCTCCTGTCACCCGGCGCCCCCCCCCACACGACAATGCCCGCTGTCCCGGACGCCGGTCCCAGAAGCTGGGGCGGCCAAGCCCTCCGAGACCACCCGCGGGAGAGCAGCCCGCGCCGCCGGCCCTTCACCCCCGGAGCCCAGGGCAAACTTCCGCCTCGTGCCCCGCTGCCTCCGCCCCTCCTGCGGGGACACGGGGCAGCCGCTCGCTCCCTGCTCCGACTCGGGGCGCCCGCATGTCTTGCTCGGCCAGGAGCTGCGCCCGCCGCTTGCCGGAGTCTGCGTCTCCCTGGGACCCGGGCGGCGCCCGACCGCTGCCATCGCTTCTGCCCGGGGACCACTGGCAAAACAAGCCGGGTTTTTAACACATGCCCGAGCAACCAGGCAGAGAGCACGCTGAGAAGTGCCACTGAGCCACAGGCGAGGATGTCCTAGGGTGGCCCAGCCGTGCCGTTGGGATGAAGCTTTGGCATGTAAGCCATTCTTCGGGCCAGTCTTCCTCTCCCTGAGACCTCGGGAAGAATATCTTCCACCGTCTAACTTCATCCCAACTACGGAGTTGGGCCGATACAAGCTCTCACCTTAGGAAATCCTTGCCTCTCCCTTAACTTCTCTACCATCGGGGCTACAACATCCCTCGTACCATACTTCATGAGGACATAGACGGTCACACAGATTAGCCCAAACGAAGCTTTGCAGCTTGCTGAGATTTCTGCTAGGAGTCAGCTAACCCAGCCTTCCTCTCCGAGGGACAGAGGCAGCCAGGAAGATTGCACACCCATTTCACGTGAAATGAAGGTGATCACGTTGAATCTGTGCAAAGGCAGATCAGCTCCGCTCAGTCATTGCTATCCATTCAGCACCAGCGCCTTGAACGACCCCTGGTGCCACAATACATTTCTTTCACTCATTAACTGGCCAATAATTATGAAGCTTTAGCCTTCTTCTCTCTCTCTGGCGCGCGCGCACACACGTCCTTGCCCCATCAACTTAAAATACAAATATAGCCCATTGATCAATGGACAGTTAGCAAACTTTTTTTGCATTATAAGCATAGCAACATATATATATAATGCAAAAAAAGTTTGCTAACTGTCCATTGATCATTGGACTACACTTGTATTTTAAATTAATGGGGCAACAACGTGTATAGAGATCTATCTATATATATATGTATATATGTATACATACATGCATCTATATATGCATGTATGTATACATATATACATATATATATATAATAGAGTGTGTCTGTGTGTGTGTGTGTGTGTGTGTGTGTGTGTGTGTGTGAGAGAGAGAGAGAGAAAACAGAAGTGGAGAATGTGGGGTTCTATATCAGTCTGTATATCATTGCTATGGCTCACTTATTTGTTATGTGGGCTTCATCCTGAAGGGACTATCAATTATTATATGCCCATATAATATGTAACAATACAGAGTAAGGGATTTATTTCCACAGCACTTAAAAAGATAGACACAGACCTTCCATATGATTTGGCAATTCCAGCAGAAAAAGAAAGTGCCTGTCATTTCTGATGAGTTCAAAGGCTGAAGTACTTTGCTAGCCAAAAGTAAAAACATTAAAAAGAAAGCAAAAAAACCCCCAAACCTATTACTCTTCTTCAGTTTGAGAATTTTAAGCTATACTTGCATGACAAGACTGTTTTTGGAGGGGGTATGTACTTATTAAAGATACAGCTTAGTATTTAGTTATTAGCATTAGAGGTTATACTACCGTGCTAAAAGTTTTAAATAAAAGAAGAAACAAGCAATAGTAAGCCCTCTCAAACCTCAATATGTATTCCTACAAATCTGTGTGTATTAGATCACAACATGGGTGTTCAGTAGAACACAGGGGCACAAGTCTCTAACACTAAACCAAAAACACTAGATTAGAAATATAGGCTCTTGCCTCCAATGGAAGCTGTATAACTGAAGGAGCTGCATCGCATTTCACCTTTGAATCACAGCTGTGTGGAGTAGACCAGAAGTGAAGCAGATGCAAGGCAAGATTTAGGACACAAGGATATAAAACCAGGGGTCTATTGAGGTCTCTGTGTGGGTGTTACATATTCATATTTGAGGATTAAGAAATCATTACAATAAATTAAATAACAGAATCACTGAAATCATACAATCCAAGTACCTTACATGAGGGAAAACATACTGCTCTTGAAACAAGAGATAAAGACATTTTTATTTTCCATGGGTGTGTGAGCATGGAAGGAGAACAATAAGACCATGAGGAAACCAAACCATATTTAATCTACTCTCCGCTTCCATAAATTCTGAGTTTAATGCAAGTCAAATGACATTTTAGTACTGGTGACTTTGCTTCCACTAAATCCATCCAAGTGAAAATCCTATTATTATTTCTGCTAATGACATACAGCCTTTTTTTTCTTTGGAGGTATTTCTACCTCCATCCTGTCTCTTCCTCACTGGGCACATCTCCATGTTCATTAATGTGCCTTAATTATGGCACTACTGCGAATTAGCACTGGTGAATGCCTTTTTTGTGATGTTTAATACCCATTGCACTAAAAATCCTGCACATTAGCACAGATGAATGCTTTTTTGAGATGCTTAATGACCACTGGACTAATCTAAAGTGCATTAGCATGGTTTTTGCCAGCTGCACTAATGCGCAGTAGAATTAGTCCAATAGGCATTGTCTCATGTAGACATGCCCACTAGATGTTGAATTGTCTATAAATTGTTGCCTTTTATCTTATCTACTATGCACAGTTTTATCTTTGTTACCCTCCCCTACAACCTTGCCACTATATTCCACCTCCCCTTTGTCAACTTCAACACTTGACAGGTCTCACATGAACAGGGCTCACAATGACTTCATTGGGCAGGTCCCCATCTGCAGGGGCGTGCAGTTTCTGGTGCCACAAGCCACACTCAGGGAATGTGAAAAAGTGTGCTTCGCTGCAAATTTGCAGTGCGGTAGCAAATTTTGCTACTGGGAAATTCCAGTAGCAAAAAAACTCTTGGGAAAAAAGCAGCGCAAAGCATGTCTCAGCAGCATGTGCTGGAAAAAAACCGAGTACTGGCTGTTCAGAGCAATGCCCTGGCAACTGACAAGGCTCCATGATGCCAGATCTTCACCTCTGCTGCGCCAGAACACTGGGTAATACTGTTGAGGCCAGCACAGGTGCTGGCCTCAGCATCTCCTATCCCTACCCTGGACAATTTGCTGTGTGCCAAAATGTGCATGCAGGGGCACGCACTGGGACACAAAGAAGCAGGACAAATTTGTCCCACTGCTATTTGTGCCTCTACAAACACATGCCCCTGCATGTGGGGACCCACCCATTAGGACCAAGATTTCACCGGCTGAGCTTAAAAGCACATCTCTTCTGGTCATTTCCTTGCTCTCTCTTCTTCTTCATACTTTTCTTTTTCCATGTCTTATGCATGCTATTCTGTTTTCTCACATTTATTTCAGTTTTCTCCTCCCTTTTCTATATTACCTCATCATGGCTCCCTAACTAATCTTTCCCACCTTTTATATTTCTCCTTACTCCCCTTCTTCACTCTTCTTCTTGGCTGTTTGCTCTCTACTTTTTCACCTCTTATTTGCCCTGCAGGCCACTGCGTCTGCTATTTTTTTAGTAACATTTTAAATAACTTATGCTTTTATTTTCCAAGGGCCCTCTGGATTAAATGTAATCCAAATATTAACACACAATACATTTATAAAGGACTGTTTCTCCATTTTGACACCCTACATATACTTACCTGCTAAATGCACTTCGTCCCAAAAAACGTAGGATAAAAAGGCTCAATGGGACCTCTATCATTTTCTATGATTCTATAATACAGACCCTGTAGAACTGTTGCAAAATCAAGGGTGGGGAAAGAGTGCAGACTAAAACCTGAGCTGTTTCCCTTTTATAGCAAGGGCAATCCAAGTCAGAGGCCTCAAAGGATCAGCGGAAATGTCTACATGGGCAGGGGACTGCACAGTTGTTACTGTGCAGTCATTTAATACTTGCTTAGCAAGTACTTAAGCAAGTACTAATTGACTAAGCAGTAATAGGCGTTACTGCACAGTCCCAATGCTGCATGGGTTTTTCCCCCATGTTACTACACAGTAGTGTAGGT